GAGAATGATGGGGATGGAACCATCATTATGTGTGGCTACATAGCAAACATTTGAGAGAATTTGGCCACAACGGATGCTCTTGTGGCTCCATGTCATCCCTTTCTATTTAAGGTTTGTTTTAATGATTATAGGACAGCTTGTTTACAGCTGCAGGTATGTGTTTAACTGGATGCACAAAGGTGTTGCTATGGCATCAGAAAATGTGATGAATACTGACTGGACGGTGTTTATTTACAATACTCTTCAGTAATCTCAGCGCAACATTTTGGCATAATATAAACAAAATCAAGAAATGAAGAATTAAGAAAATGTCTTCTTAAGATGCTATAAAAACTGGCAAAACTTCTACATACGTCACTGTGCAAAAAAAAACAAAAAACAAAAAAACAAACAAAAAAAACTGCAACTTTTCTGATGAGTAATATGTTACAGAGAAGTGGAATATTTGCCAGAAAAGAATATTCAAATTTTAAAATGCAAATCTTGACAGTGAACAATTGTGGAAGTGAAATAAGCAAGAGAACCAGAAAAGGAGTTTTCTTACAATTAACTATAAAAAAAGGTTCTGTTTATGACTCATCATAGGTGTCATTTTTTGACTTGCAGGAAGCTGGAATGTTTAAAATGGGCTCATGTTGCCACATATTAAGTCAGAGTATTGAGAAAAAGGTCTCCAGACACAAAGGATGTCTTCTACATATATTAGGCAGCATTACAAGCACTTGTTCAAGTTTTATAGGGTCACATTTGGGTTTAAAAGGAAGGTGGTCCTGTTGCTGTATTTGGAGCATGATCCCTGCTACGCAGCAGCAGATGAGAAGGGGAGGTTGGTTGTCACCAGAGGTTCCAACATCTGGCCACTGATACGATTTGATCTTTTTATTTTAATTTCTGTTTTTGCTTTTTTTGTTCTTTAAAATAAAATTCCGTAACAGATTTTTTTTTAAACACATTAAAGAAAATTTCTCAACATCGCCAAATTGTTTGAAATTGTATTTACTCATTTAGATGCATAATCTACAAATAAATTTAAAACATGTTTTTAACATTGCTTTTTTTCATCCCTTAAACATTTTATATAGCTGTTTTTTTTCCCTATTAAATAATATTTTGGACAAAATTGATTACAAAAAAAAGACAGCTAATCAGATCTAATCAACTCTATTTACATATAAATTAATACAGGAGTGTTTTTCTCTATAAAATTATTGTTTTATCCAGTCCTTGAAAATACTGAACAAAAATATTTTCAGCTGAATGTCCATGTAGAATCAAATTGTGGTACTGATGAAAGTAATACTTTATATAAAATGTTAAATTTATTGAGCATTCTAACAATTACTCTCTACACACAAATATAAGTTCACCAGAATATTAATGTGATTTTAGCACAAATAATGTATCACACAGCTGACAAAAAGTCATGAAATAACAGTTTAAATTATGACATTTCTGAAAAAATATGACAGTACAACTGCAACAGACGAGTTAGGAGCTGCCAAATGAACACATCTGTTATGTATTCTATATTTATCATAAATGAAACATTTGGCAGTACAACATGCTTTTAAAATAATCTGAGACAGTTTGTCTTTGCTAGACGAGCAGAATGACCAGTCTGAGACAGCAGGAGGCGGTTCACAGAGGTAGATGCATCTCTGTAAAGATGCCCACTTTTGTTAATCACTGGCAGTTCAGTTGTCTGATTGAGTGGGAGACATGTTCTGTGTCTTAGCCACTGGCAGCAAACGCATGTCCCTCCTAAATCACACAGAATGGCCTCCTAAGGGCACATTCCTGCATACCAATGATGATTGTTGGGATGTTGTGAAAAGAGCAGCACTTGAGTTCCTAGACCTTGGACATGCACCAGAACCCACCCGCCATTTCCCACTTCAGACGCCCCCCTGCCACCCAGCCTTGTGAGTTCCCTCACCGAAGCATTTATTAACATCACTCATCTTGGAAGCCAGATCTTTAGTATAATGATCTAATGTCACAGGCGGCCATTTTATGGTTCATGTCAAAAAGAAGACACACCCCATGACTCTTTGAGAGCAGCTCCTTAAAAGCAGGACTTGCAGATTGAAGGATGCCACCAACCGGAAGCTGAAGAAGGCTTTGGTATTTACCCGGAGTTTAACACAGTCACGTTGTGATATAACATGGCTGCAAATGACAGTCCAGTTGTACCTCGTCACTCTAGCTTGTTCTAGTGTGCTTAACATTGGCACTCAGTTCATTAGGGCCTATTGCACTTGGCTAATGCCACTTGCATCTTGGCAGCATGACAAGAACTGTGAATCAGATTATGAGAGCCATAATGCGGCCAAGAAACACTGAGGGCGAGTGCAGTTGTCACCAAGGACCGGCACAGACTCTCTGGATGTTAACGCCTCCGACATAATGTAATTGCATCCTGCCCTGGTTAATAAGGGCACTGTAATATTTGCATGGGGATGCTGTTTATATGTACAACAGCTCATTTGAACGTGCAGCGTGGCTGTAAACAAGAGAGAGCGCCTTGTAAAGCTTTTCCTGCAACAAGCCAGGGATTCAGACAGCCAGGAGGGTGTGTCAGAGCTCCGTTAAAAGCATTGTTGATTAAATTAGCCGAGACTTCATAAAGAAGCGGGAAATGAATAAAAGGAGAGGTACTGTAAAGGGCTTCATTTCATTTGTTTTACAGTGGGATTACCCTTTTTTACATGACAATGTTAATGAATTGTGAGGGTACCATATGTTGATGCTGGCACATTCACCATATGTGGTGTCAGACAGCAAACCACGCAGGGGAAGTGTTCTGCACGGCACATGGAGGCCTGCAAGGCAGCCGTGCTGCACACACATCATTACAATCAAGGATGAGTGCTACTGTTCTTTCTTTTTCTTCTCTAAGTTAATAGCCTGTGTGCGGATGCATATTAGCTCATTATTCATTTACATAACAACAATGGGGTCAGGATTCTCACAGGCTACTACAGAGAGCATCTTTGCACTGATTAATTTTACACTGAAGGAGGACACATTTCTGCTGTTTTCCACCAAGCTGGTAGCTGGAAACTAAACACACACACACACACGCGTGAGCACGTATGCAATAAAACACATTTAAATGCCTGACAACATTTGGAAAATGAGCTGATCTCGAAGGAATTTCCAATATTTTTGTTTGATTGTAACACATTGCTTAAACTAAAACAGGTTCATTTGTGAATGCTGCAAGTGAAAAAATCACATGAATTAAAGACGGCTGTCAGGAACTCATTAAATTTAGTTTTATTATTATTTTCCATGTGTGAATTAATAGCATTTGTCTTTTACTAGTTATCTATCCACTGCAGCATACTGACCAAGCCCAGTCAAGGAGACCTTACGATGAAACACGGCTGATAAAACACACAACCGTTTTATTTCTCTCTAAATGGTCTGCTTGCTAATGAAATGGAAGACAAATAGAAACAACAACCAAAACACATTTTTTCATTGTTTTCAATGTAAACCTTTATTACTATTCTAATACAGATTTGCATACAAAGGCACATGTGGTGAGCACTTATACACAAGTTGCATAAAACAAACATACATCTTCTAAAAAAAAACAAAAAAACTAATAAGCAGGCAAAGCTAAACAGATAAATTACATTTGCATGTTTTACAAAAAAGCAAGGTTATTAAGTGATACTGATTTAATTATTTCACACCAGAAATCATGGTTTTTATGCCTCTCAACTGATATCAGAAGAGAGACTTTTTTGCAAAAGATTAAAAACATAATTTCAAGCTTATCCAGGCAGATAAGTAATTGTCTCGAGCACTGGGATGTGTATGATTATCAAAAGAATACATTTTCTAAATTAGGCCAAGAGATTCTCCCTTGAATCAAATGCAAGAGCAGAAGACCAGTGCATAGATTGTTTAAAGTAATACTTTAAAAGATTTGCATAGATTATCAATCATAATAAAAAAAAAGTCCACTTCCCGAAAATTAATATAAAATGAATTAAGCTGCAATGGTACTTGTGTTATTGCACTGGGATCTGTGAGTGTGTGCGTCTGTGCATTTGTGTGTGAACAGGAAATTAAGGCAGTGTTTGAAGCCAATGTATTTGTCATGTCTTACCCAAAGATGTATCATTACAGCAGCGCAGGTAACTGTTATGAGGCAAACTAATGTGCCTCAGAGGAAACATACACAGCAGCAATGTTTCACTTCTTCCTAATCAAACACACTACTGCCATCAGGAATATTATATATTTGATTCCACATTTATTCACAAAGTTGTTTTTTTTTCAGACTTTAAAATATAATTAGCAATCAAATATGACACACACCTCCTCTAATTCCAGTTTTTACATATCAAAATTAGGAATGTACACTTCTGGATAAAGCACAATTTATCTTGATAACGTATGAAGGAATGTCCATTAATTGTTAGCCCATAAAGAAAAATCCAAAGTGTAGATAAAAGAGGCTCTGCCCAAAACAAAACCAAAACAGACAGAACAGTTGCATAGAGTATAAAGACGACAGCTCTCTCCTTCGCCATTGTGTCAGCCGACACACGGAGCTGTCCAATCGCAGTGCAGTATTATTCACTGCTGTCGTGGGTCTCACATTCACGCGTCTTTTGAGTCCTAGCAACTAAAACAAAACATCAAACTGAACATCAGCGAGGGCTAAAACTCAAATTGAAAGCAACCTAGATAAGGGAGAGCCTATATGTTAGTTATAAAAATGCAATGCCTGTCTGTATAATATTATGCACAGACATATACAACATACAAAAAAAAATCAGTCGTAGAATTAAAAAAAATTGCAGCATTGTAGTGCTATGCATCATCTTTCTTAGCCCATGGGCTTCCACAGCCACAGTTCAAAATGATGTTTTTGCAGCTAAAGCACCAAAAGGTCTTCACAAAACGTCCAGGTGGGTCAAAGTGTTCCACAGACATGGAAACAAGATCCATCAAGTTGCACACAGACAGCAGCATCCTTGTTTACAGCAGCTGAATGGCAGCAAGCCGTGAAAGACGAGTCCTGCCGTCTCCCCATTGTGTGTTCTGTCCATTTTGGAACCCCGTGGCCACCAACGTTTATCTGCGAAAGGGAAAAATGACATTAAGATGCAGCTTTGATTCATCTCAGTGAGTCAAAGCATACACTGAGGACAATCATGTGAATGTCAGAACAATTATTTGAGACAATGAAAAGTGAATTCCAATAAATTCCAGTTTAGGAGAATCAAAGAATGGCTTGTCTTTTATTTTAACAAGAACAAAAAAAATCACTTATACAGGGTTATTTATTGTGTGACCTGAATCAGGCTGAGGAAAAACAAAAAACAAATACAGCTGAAGGGATTGAGGGTGAAGTTGAAAGGCCTTAGCAGGAGCCTGGTACGCTGCAAGCTGCTAATGCAAAGAGGAAGCATGTGACAATCCCTAAGCTAGGCTCACTCGACTTCAGAAAGCTATGAAACCCACATTTTTGTTTCATTTTCATGCAGCTCAGACAAGCAACTTAAAATCTTACAGAGGGTGAGCAAGTTCAAAATAAAGAAACCAACATAGTTGCTCAGCTTATATGCAGAGATCAACAATCACCGTGCTAATCAACATCACCTGAGCTATTAGCATGCGTCATATTAGCTGTGGCATTTTATACTGCAGTTCTGCTCTGAGCACAGCCATGATGGTGGGGAAGGGTGGCTGACAGTGGAGTCTGCTAGAATAAAAAGCAGTTTTGGGTATTGGTGTCACTTTGAGTTATTGGCATCATGGTCTTGCTTTGTTGAGAGAACTACAGTGAATAAGCTCGTTAATGGTAAATTTACAGCCCCAGCATGTGGCCTAATAAAATCAGGGGATAGAGAGGATGATGAGAATGATTGTCATTGCTATTTTGTGTGTGTGTTCAGGAGTGTTTGTGTGAGGAGGATGGGAAGTGGGGTGCAGTCAGAGAAAGAGGGGAGAAAAGTGGAAGGCGCCGGTAATTAAGAGTCTAAAAGAGTGTGAGAGAGGCACACACCCTTCAAAGCAAACTTTGCGCCTAGATTCCCCTCTTTTTTCTATGAACCCCCCCATCCCTCTTCACTCTCGCTTGCTCTTTACTTGTCTCTCCTCACTGAATGAATAGCTACCACAGTGCCATGGTGTCCCATCTAGCAACACCCCCCCTGCATCCTCTTGCCTTTCTCCACAGTCCCCCCTCCAGCATGACTCTGAATAGGGAGCCGAATTGAGCAAACAGTCGGGCTGTCAGCTCAATAGGAGGTCTGGCCATGAACTTGAAGTCCTTCCCAGGCCCCCAGCCTCACATTAGGATGGAAGGGGTGGTGATGTTTGAGGAGACAAGAGGAAGGAGAGGATGGTGGTGATGGGGGGTTACAGCCAGACTTTTTGGGGGCCCCTATGTGCCAGTGTTGGGGAGACCCCTGACACAGAGTTTCCCAACGCTGGCGCTCTTGCTGGAGCAATGGGGGTTGGGTGCCCCAGCTGCCTGCAGAACCCTCCCCTCCTTCTATAGCACTCAGTCTGGGCAGGAGGGGTTGGTGGTGGGGTTGATGCAGACAGAACACTGTCTGCACCCTGCCAAAGCTCTTCTAGACCCACTCTCTCTCTCACACACACATACACAGGAACAGAGATCCAGACACAAGCTGCTGGCTGTGCCCACCCCCTCTCCTCAATCAACTCACGGGCCTCCCAGGCTTCTCATCATCTCATTAGCCAACGCCAGCCACTCCACTGTCTACTGTTTGCATTGTTTTGGGCTCTGCATAATTTACACAGTAAATTGAGAACTGCCCCTGTCCCTTTTGCTCAATCTACCACCTGTTTATGGAGGCAGTGATTAGTGCACCCAGTTTGACACAGTTACCAAAGAACTTATCAGCCAAGCCAAGCAACACTTGAAGAAGCTGCCTTGTCAAAAATGTTAATGCAAAATGCTTGGCATGACCTAATTTGAGAACTGTTGATGTCTAATATTTAGTCTGTTAACATTTAGAAAATTATGGAACAAAAGTTTATAAAACGGGGAAGTGATTTTTTGACACACTTCAGCAAATTGATTCTTAAGGGTTTTCATAAGGTTTTCCTTAGGCACCAGCACCCCTCACAACCCATTAGGGATAACAGAATTGGATGGATGGATGGCTGGATGGATGGATGGCTGGATGGATGGATGGATGGATGGATGGATGGATGGATGGATGGATGGATGGATGGATGGATGGATGGATGGATGGATGGATGCTTTCCTGTCTTTTCATCTTCACCTTTATGTAGTGCAACCATTACTGTTAGGCAATTGAAGGATCCTACTGTAAGATTAGTACGAGTTAGCACTGATCTCCACATTACAGAGACAAAGAAGTGTTTCTTTGCAATCAGGGCAATGGTATACATTGTTAAATGATTGGCTACCTAACTCAGTTAGCCCAGCTGACACTAATTGATGTTTTGGTTGAAGCCGTTTTCAAAGTTAGGAGCTGCCTAGTTGAAATAATGTAACAAGTTTGCTTATTGAGAACAATACATGACTTGTCTAAGTACTAACAGAACTCAAATACTCGTTACTTGCTTTGAGTGTTTCCAGTATTATTGAACATATATTCTATTCTTGATCAATAAATCAAGAATATAAAATCCACTTAAGCTAACCTAGATTTTATGCAGTTCTTGTAAACAGCACCTTCACAAACCCTAACCTGCTCACCTATACTGTACTTGCGTTGCATTTCCAAAATGGCAGCTGTTTTCTTGTCAGTGTGTGCAAGAGAGGATGGCATGGCAATCCCCAAACAGGAAAACAAAACCTGCCTCTTCAAGGACAGATGCCCACAGCCTCCTGAGAGGCTGTGGGCATCCATCTCATTGCAGAGTGCTATATCACTCTGCAATGACAGCAGAGTGATATAGCACACATACAAAACATGCTCAATGCGCATCAACTCACCCTCCCTGCCCCCAAATCAGTGCTCTACGAGAATTGTTAACGAACAAATCGTTGCGAATTAAAACAGAGACTGTATTCTAGTGGCGAATGGGACCGAGGGTACTGGGTGATGGAGGAGGCTTGAACGGAGTGTCAGGGTGATGACGGCAAGAAAAAGCACAACAGCGGGCACGGTGGGCTTGGTCTGTTACCTGCAGTGACTGGTCTTTCCACTTCCATTTTATGCCAGCGTTGCTCTAAGATGGTGGCGTGGGCTGCATTTCGCTGTACAGGAAAAAGGGGCAGTCTGCTGAGGATGGAGTGGAGGAGAAAGAGAAGAGGAGGAGGTGGGAAGAGGCGATGCAGAAGAGGGCGATGAGAGAGGGAGGGCACAATCAACAGCAACCCCTCCTCCTCTTCTGTTTTCAGTCTTCTTTTGCCATCTTTTCTCTATGTGGCAAGGTACCCTGCAAAGAGAACAGGGACACGGGGTGTTACAGGTAAATGTTAACAATGTAGTTAAGCCATCAAAACAATTATGGACAGTTTTACAGAAGCATATGAACCAAGTTATGCATACACACTAATGCATGCATACACACACACACTTGCACATGCACACACACACACACACCTTTTCATGTCTGTTCTCATGGTACAGTCTGCCCCTGAGCATGCAAATGACTTTCATTATGCAAATGCATGCAAATCAGATCCAACCATCTGAGAATCAAGGGTGGGAAAGGAAAAAAAAAACTCGACAGAGACTGAATGAAAGAATGAAAGAGAAAAAGGGACGAGAGAAAAATCCATTCGAGTGGCAGGAGGCTGCGCAATAGGTAAACGATCTGTGGAAAACAGCAGTCAGCGAGCACAGTTAGTCTCTTTTATTTTGTCTATGATGCATTTTTGTTCAATTTTTACTCCAGTGTCATCATTCTGAAGGAAGTGTGTCTTACATTCATTGACACTACCTTACTTAAATTCAAGAGCACAGATGGCATTTTAAATTGTCAACCCACTCTCGTGACAATTGTAGTCAAGCACATGTGGAACTATTTCTGCATATTCAACAACTGTATAATTATACAGGTTTTCAGTTTATGCAGTCAACAGTTCAGCTAACCTGGATTTTTTGCGGTTCTTGTAAATAACAGTTGTAGTTTTGGTAGCCTTCTTAGGTAACTCAAAGATTGCACTCTCAGTTTGAAAAGTCTGGCGGTAGCTTTTCTCATAATAAGATGCTCTGCGTCTATGTCTGCATGGTGCAAAATAATAAGCATGAGAAGCTTAAAGCAAGCCATTAGCTTCAAAGCATTATTAGCACCACTACACACCAGCATATGTGGCTACCAGATGAAAGGACTTCATTCTTAATTGTTTTGAATCAGCATCTGTTTTGCCATAGACTTCTATAACCCACACCTGCACATGTAACCTTGAGAATGTAAAACCCTGCTGGCACAATTAAGTCAGCTGTCTAAGTTCAACATTCACACGCAGGTGGAGACTGTACCTCACAGGTTTAGCAACAAAGTTTGTGAACCCTTTTTCAAGGTAATCAACAAAGAAAGCAGACATTTTGCTCATACTCTAAGCCCAGCAGAAAAAGGATCTTCCATTAGCCAGCAGAGGAGGGAGCATGCTTTTGTTTCTGGGTATCAGAGGAGGAAGGCTACATCTGAAACTAGAATGAAGTGGTGAAACCAGGGGTGTCTTGGAGTGTGAGAGAGTTGAGGTGGGTAAGCTGGGAGGGAAAGGACTACAGGGGTGGGGTACTGCTGAATGATGGCAAACCTCTCCTAATTGGCACTTGACATTTTTTGCCATTGGCACTGGAGTGGGCCAGCTTTCAAGCCCTCTCTGGGTCCTTGTTGGAAAAGTGCCTTATGCAAATATGGCGAATGGGCTCTATTGTGAAGCCGCTGATATTAACAGCTCACACAACAATGAAATTGTGTGCTTACTCTGGACACGTAGGTGTGTGAGAGAGAGCTAGACAATAGCAACCAGAGCAGCTTCAGTCTGAACAGACCCTCTATCGGATGCTTTGCCAAGTCATTTCAGCAGAATGGGCTTTACAGAGGCTCTCAGTAAAAGCTTTATTAATGACTGAAACAAACAAATGCACACAGTGTTTTCCTCTGGCTCTGAAAGTGCCTCGTATTTGTAGTGTTACTGAATGGTTTGATTTATTTTCATTGAATGTACTGAAAGTGTGGCCAGGAAAGGACTAACTCCCGTTCCGAAAACAGTGAAACTGAAGTTTCTCCAGTGCTGTGCCACCCTCTCATAGTTTGTTGTTCTCTATATATTCACTTCCTTTGGGTCAGTCCTACATATTAAGAATGCCTTTGGAGAAAAGTCAGCAAATCATATTAATCAAACAGCAAAAGCTAAATGTACAAGCAAAGCAAAGCCTTACTCTGTGGACAGGAACAGCAAATACACATTATGCAATACTTTCTTACTCAAGAAGGTTTGGATTATTAGTGCCGTTTGAAAAGACAGTGAAAAATTTCCTCTTTCTCTGAGTCCCATCGGGAGGCAAACAGAGCATCGAGTCAGACAACAGCAGCTACCCTTCGTGTGGTCTGAGCTCAGTCAAAGTACACCTGTTACTGCCAAGTTGCCAAACTTAATCTCCTTTGTCTGGTGAGGCCCATTGACTTTGCAACTGCCTTAGATACATTCATTTCTCTGTGAGCATAGAGGGGTGGAGGGACTGCCAATGTTGGAGAAAACAACAAGGTCTGGCTTTGCCCTCTGGCCCAACAGTGAAGCCATTTTCCAAGCCCTGTTGGTGTGTTCCATCAAGAGAAAGGGAGGAAGAGAAAAGGGGGCAAGAATCACTGGGTTGTATTCAGAAAACTGTCTGGCTGCTCGGACCCGGCAGGCCTGAAAGGAAGGAAAGGGGGCGCATTGTCCTTTGGTGACAAGTGGACTAGCTCTATTGACTGTAAAGTCTAGTGGCGTGGGGGTGAGCGGGACTATATCACAATGGCTGTTTTTCTAGTTGACACTTAGAGTCTAAATCTGCTTGCCTAGTGCATGAAGGCTAAGACAAACCCATCACCCACCTCCCTCTTTTTCATCTCCCTGCCTTTTTTCCCTCTCCATCATTTCTCTATGCTCCTTCTTTCTATTTTAGACAATACCAAGGGACACAGAAAAAAGAGAGCAAAGGCCCTAAGGTGGTTTTTCAGGAACTCTCCCTTTTCCACACCATTTTCAGGGAAGCAGAAGCTGAGATAGTCTCTTCTCTGTGGTCCCAGTGTGAAGTGTTAGTGATATAACTGTGCCACACACAAAGCAAAGAACAAAGCTTTTGCACCACTACATGTCTCTCCCAGGGCACTGCTTAGGGTAAAACCACAATCTGTCAGAGTTTGGTCTCCATTTAGTCTAACACTGCAACTGACCCAAAAAGTGAGGCAAAGTAAAAAGCTCTGCGATGTTAAAGAGTAAGTGGGGATAGGGCCTGGTATGTGATCAATTAATGCAAAGTACACCAGTTTAGACTTGACACCTGGAATAATCTTTACAGTGTGTGCAGATCAAAGCCATCTAATGCTCAAAAGTCTACAGAAAACCTTAGATATGGTGGCTTCATAAGTACAACAAAGAAGAGAATAAGGCACAACCTTGACGTTCAACAATAGGATGTCTTTGGCTGTCACTTTCTCTCAAGAACATTATTCCTCTACAGAAGCAGTTGAGCAGAGAGCTCAAATGTCACACTCAGCACCCGCAATGCAGCACGATGCCAAACACAACTCTGGGGCTTAAGTTGATTGACGTTGCAAGGTAAGGCTTGCCTGTAAGCTTTCAGGTATTTCACTTCAGTTGTGCACAACTGTTTAGAATTTATACCATATCAAGCTCAACATATCCAAACCCAAGGGGATCTTTCAGCTAAAACCTGTTGTAACAGCAAACCACCAAGTTAAATATGTATTACACTTTGAGTTCACTTAGAAAACTGGCACAGAGACCCAGGAAATGGTCCTCAGCAGCTTTTTTCAGCAGGGATGATCCTTTGACTTTGATGGGCAGAACAGAAATCACACCTTCAATCAGCCACCAGTAGCCTTGAAGTTGAAGATCTGATTGACCAATTACTCCTCACCACGAGCTCCACCGCAGAACCTTAAGGCTGAGATTGTTCTCCTTCACTCACTCATGGATTTCGTCACTGGGGGTTCTTTCTGCTTGATTTCCCCTGGACCACTCCCCTTGTGAGTTTTACACGCACACACATCAGCATCCTATCAAGCTTTTCCACATGGTAGCACCTCGTGGGATACAGGCCCATTCAAAACTGTGCCAACTGTCACGTCAAATCAAGCAACAGTCAGGACCCTAAATTAAACATCTTTTCAAGCAAAACATTGAAAAGGGAAGATGAAAAGGAGAAAGAAATCGACACTGGATAACTTAACAAAACGGGCCTCAAATAAATTCTGGTCTTTGCACTTAGGTTCCAGCAGGACATTGGGATAGCAGATTACCTCCGAGGGAGCATTCTTAAGTCACACAATCACATCTATGCTGGAGCATATGTATAATTCATAGCACCATATGCAGCTCCAATGATATTAAAGGGCCACATTTTTTCCACATTGCATGGTTACTTCATGCCAAAAATGAAAAAAAGTCACACTTAGATTAATGGGCACAAATGGACAGCCTATTTACCAAACAAACTCAATAATCCAGTGTAGAGTTTTTAAAAGACTTGTTGGAGTTTACTGGCTTTGGTAAATCTGTAAGGGTCTTTTTCTCCAAGCCATGTGATACCAAGGCTAAGCCCCTGCATACAGCCCTGCACACAAGGATCATGGGGCTTATTAGATTAATAGTGATTCTGTTGCACCAACCTTACTTCTATGGGTCACTGCCACTAACTGCAGTAAAATACACAAAATATACAGTGCAATATCACACTTATTACAATTTACTAAAGGAAAAGCTCTCTGAAAATGTGAAATTGGTTTAATTTGTAGACAAAATGTTGTACTTGCTTTAAATATGACATAGAGTACATGGGAAACTCCTTGATTCTTACCTTTATTTGATGAACGATCCATTCTCCTTTAAAATGCAGTCCATTTTTTCTCAAGTTAAACTTCTTGTGTATTTTTTTGATTTTTGATGAAAGGAGTCACTTTGGGTCTTGATGCCTTTCCAGGAGTGTAATGGGATTCTTGTTACTTTCGGTTATCTAGCTTTATGAAGAATGTACATCACTCATACAGCTAGATAACCAAAGATAACAATCAACCCCTAAGGCTACCCATCCTCTTAAACCCCAGGCCAAGAAACATGGGCCAATATCTCACCTAAAGACAGATAGGAAAAATGTTAACAAACATAAATGTATAGATTTTAAAATTGTATTATATCACAAATAACAAACTGAGTAAAAATCTATGCCACGTAACATATTCTAAGTGATACAAATCAAACAACTGTTAACTCCATGGAACAAAAATGTTAGTCTTCTGGCTTGAGCTCTTCTAATTATCCTTCAGCTCTCAGCATCCTTTAAATGTTCTGACCTCTCAGTTTATGATGTCACCAGGTTGCCTGTATCCCGCCTAAAATCCTCTCAACCAATTGGAAACCTCCCTTTGTCCACTAAACCCATTGATTGGTTTGGTGTATATCAAAAACCCTTCATGTCAAACAATCAGCAAGATGCACCAATTAAAACACAATTCCACCAGTTGTCAAACCAGTTCATACTGGCAATGGCTCCAGTCTTCCTTTCTCCGGTCTGGCGCCCATCCCTACGGTCAATATGCAATGCCCACTGAGTGGCTCTATGGGAGTGTGATGGCTTCAAACAGCACCCCCCGCAATGACCGAAATACATTTTTAAATTAAAAGAAGATCCTGGCTGTTTGACTACAAAAGAAACTGGTTTGTCTTCATTTACATTATCTGATGCCAAAGCAGTTGGCCGACGCTCGAGGGTGGCGCCTCAGGGAGGACATTAAGGTTTAAGGTCCATGGGCACAAGCATAGCAAAAATGTCTTCTCCAGAACGTAGAAATGTGCAGTTGCTTTCTATTCAGTGTGCAAATAATAAGAATTTTTATGTAAAAAAGAAAGGAAAAGCTAAACAGGCATATATACAAAAAAGCATCCCCAGATAAAGACAAAGCTGCACGACATACAGGCACACATTCATTTTCACACATGCCGTGATGGCACATGGCACAAGGCCCCATCTAATTAAAGCTGCTCTGTGTGCCCAGATCTCTGTTGTTGCAGGCTCCTCCCCACAAAGCACCAGCTCCAACTGAAGCTCTATGATTAGTGGCGAAGAAAGAGACGGACTGATGGAAAAGAGAAGAGTATAAGGCACAGATTATTCTTCCCAACAATTAGAACAACCCTGAAGATTTTTGACCCAACTGTCAATATGCAGAAATTATCCCAGACACTAACATGCCTGTTCACAAATGATCGATTTTCCAGACATTGTTGGTTCCCCAGGTTAGGTTCTGTTCTGCTGTGTTCTGAAAGCATGTGGCCTTTTTAAAAATGGATTGTTATGCCATTTGGTGGAGCATATTTTTTAAGGTGATTTATGTCCACGCACAAGGACAAAGCAAGGCCTTTGTACGAGTAAAATAATATCCCGAGTCACTGAATGCAGCTTGACTGACAGATGCACACACCACACCACACCACACACACACACACACATGCACACGCATGCACACGCATGCACACACATGATGCGTACACTCACATGTTTAACACATAATTACTCTTAAAATGAATACAGTAAATGCAGTCATACGCCACACAAAAACACACGTACACACACTCACTCCTGCATGAACACACACATTTTGAGTTTAAAATAAGAATGAAGTCCAATTAAAATCTAAAAATATTATATTGTTGATAAACAATATTGCATAGAATTTAAAGCTTCTGTTTTAGATTGATTCCAATCCTTTTAATATTATGATTGTTATTGCAACATTTTAATTATGAATAAACAATTTATTTTTATATTCTTTTATTTATTTAAAAACATAATTAAAGGCTGTGCAAAAATTTAAAAGATTTTTTTTTTGTTAATCCTGCTTTAAATATACATATATACACCAAACTAAATAACACTTTATGTTTAAGGTTTTGCTAATAATATTTTTTCTTTACATAGTAAATGCAACTTTCAACAGAAATTTGAGAAGTACTGGTTAGGTCTTGTAATGCAATCCCTTAAAAATTCATATTAAATGATTTCATTATTTATTTACTGAATGAAGATTCAAAGCGCCAATGGAAATGAGGTTTCCTGCTTTCTATCATTTAAACAAACCTAATCAGGCAGTGCCATTGGCCAAGACGTGTATGACGTCAGTAATTTCGGCACCTCTAATTGGGAAAAAAAATGCAAATAGTGCAGAGCTGATTAGCGGGAAATAAGTTCCTATTATGAAGCCTCGCTGGTTCTCATCTGGTTAAAGCCACATGATTTATTCTGAATCAATTTAAAGTTAAATTCTCAGAGTGAATGCTGCAATTACAGTGGAAGTTTTACGCTCATAACAAATAATTTTATGCACATTATTAATCATTATTTAAATACAAATACAGGAATTAGACGCAGACGCTGAGATAAGGAAAATCTGTTGACACACACTTTTGTTTTTTCTGCACAAGCTATAGGAGTGTGTGATACTTTCACCGTGTGTTTAAAAGAGAAGAGATGACCGATTCATATATTTTGTGGGAAAAAATGTACAATCAGCAATTGATTATTATTATTTTTCTTCCTTTTTTTGCATTACGAGGCAACATTTTTATATTTTTGCTAAAGTAACAGCACATATTTTGCCTCTAAAACATATTCTAATACATGTAAAACTACAGCATGAGAACAAACGTACTGATATGTCTAAAACTACACAGCATAGCTATTGTTTTTTCGTCTTTTTTTCTTGTAACTAATTCAAGCAGATTTCAGAGAACATTCCACCTGCTAACAGGAGCAAGTGGGTAAATTTATCTGGTACCGATCATCTAAAATGTGACTCATGTAACGCTGAAGAATGACCTTTGACGAAAAGCTGCGATCGTTTTGTTTTTGAAACAAACAAATGCTTTTATTGCAGACTTTATCCTATTAGAGCGGTCGATGCAAAGCTCTTTAACAAAGCTGGGCCTTAAAAAGGTCTTGAGCTGTTGTGGGTTTTTTTCTATAATATAACACACAGTGGGCGGTGCAACATCAGATCTCTAACATCCGCGGGATCATTCTTTTCTGTACGTGTGGTTATTGGGATTTATGTTTTGCTGTTCACGAAATGCTTTTATAAAATTCTTTACTTAATTATTAAATTAAACCAGATATCATATTCTTATGAAACGTATACATTCTGTTTCCAGATTCAGCCTCAGTCTGTTTGATTGCACATATATTCTCATGTTTATCACGCAAAACGATTCATTCATATTCTTATTATTATTATCAGCGTTCAAGTTTTTTTGAGACCTAAGGCGCACACGTGTCCACGGGGCAGGCCTGTCCACGGATCACACGTGTCCACTGGATATGTGGCCTTGTGAGTTCTTTATCCAACAACTATGGGGATGTGAACGCCGCCACTTTGTCTTATTACGCATGCACTGCAGGTCTGTCTGCTGATAAATCCTCACATCTGTGCCACATGGGCGCACAGGGTCCGTGCAGGGCTCAGAGTGGACAAAAAGGCACCATACTGTTTACCGTTTTTGCCCAGATTTAGTAGGTCTACCTCGTTTATGGGGCTGTGGTTACTTGCACATGCAGCTTTTGTTGAAGGACTGACCCTGCTAAGCATTTGGAGGTGTGATAGATGAAATCCTGGCTGAAGTGCATGTTGGCGTCTCTGAAATAACACTGTGAAAAAAAATAAGTTTTATTTCAAATTGAATACCAATAACACTTCCAATTAGAAGTTATTATACAGTTCCATCTTAACATCCTAACCCAGAGGAAGTTTTTAGCATTTTGCAGAGCCTGTGCCATATTCAATATGCAATTTAAAAATTGCTTGTATGAATCATTTGAATTATCGCCCTATATCTTTTCAGACTGAACATATAGCATCTCATGGGCGAACCAATATGCTGCCAACTTACAGCAGCTTACATCACTTCTTAAATTGCATCCATCAGCCCATCACCATGAAGCTAACAAAGACATAGAGACAAATTGATGCATTTAAATCCGGTGGTCTGCGCTTGTATTCGCCTGATGTTACATCCGGTCTAAAGACGCATGCTGCTCCGTTATGTGTGCAGACTGGCGTTGTACGCGGCGCTGATGCAAACCCGCTCTCCATCATTTTAACGGATATCCTGCAGAGCTTTCCACCTTGACGAAATCAAAGCTGATATTTCATACTCACGGCGCTGAACGCGAGCCGCTGCGGGATCCGCTCCTCTCCCAAACCGAGCAGCGAGCGTCTCGGAGGATGGAGGCGAAGTGATTCGCCGGAGGCTGGACCGCACGGTCTTCATGGCTGCGGCTGCCAGTGACGTCTCTCCGGCTTCATCCATTCAGCTTCTCTCCAGCGGGTTTTCCCCCTGTTTTATTATTGTCCCCATTATTTCATGTCGGAGGTGGATCTCGCCTTAACCCCCCCTCCTCTCCCTCCCTCTCTCTGTCCGCGCCGCTCCGCGCAAATCGCCATTCCTCACTTCGTCAGATGCGCTATGAACTTAAAAGATTCCGGCTCTAAAAACATATAGCACCACAGACAGAAGGCCCTCCCCTTTATGACACGATGCAGGTCTGTTTTTTTTTTTTTCCTTGTCTCCACCCTCTGAAAAAATGAATGCAAGCATGAATAAGCATCTCAAGTTATCAGAATCCCTGAGACTAATAATCAAATTAAACTTGCATTCCTCATGATGCCACGTTTTAGAATAAACCAAGATCATTGCGGTATATTACAATATAAAGATGTAAAATTTTATCTTAATATGCACAATAAGCACTAGAATCTTAATTAATTTCCCAATTACGCACAAAGCCGCTCAGTTCAGCACATCTCTGCCGCCTTATTGTGAGCCTATTTGGGACTTTCTCGCAGCCCATCAAGTGTGTGATTTAGAGCCCCGTTTTGGACCATGTGGGATTATAAAAAAGTTTCGTGTAATCTTGTGTGGCTACCAGTATTCGTTTGACACAAAGCCCCCGGCAGAGGCTGCGGCCTGCGGCTTCCTGCGCCTGGATAAGTGCGCACATCCACCGTCCTCATTGTCCGCGTCTTTAATACGTAGGAGTCCAGGAATGTGACCAAGGGGGTGAAGACCGTGCAAATCAGCTTTTACTGTCACCGCCGGGCCCCGGGTCCGCAGACAAGAGCCAAGAAAGGGGGTCTGGGTCACTTGATTATCATAATAATCAGATCGCGGGGATAAAAATCTCCTTTGAATAAATTACTGCTTCAATAGGAGGCGCGACTGCCAAAGAGACAACTTTGTCAGCCCCTCGGTTTGTTGTCGGGGGTCTCTCTCGCTCTCTCTCTGCTTTTCTTTCTTTCCAAATTTTGGACGCTTTCCTGGAGATCAAACTCTAAATACGGCTACTGTTTCTGCGCTCCCCTCCTCTCGCCCCTCGCCGATGCCTGGTTACCGAGCCTGAGCAGGGAGGCAGGTTCTGAGCTCCCCTTGGGAAAGCGGGGTAGCGCTGGCTAATGGGCTAAGGAGCGGGCACAATGGGCTGTACACCAACCATGCGACCCCCTCCTCTCCTCACCCCTCATCACTTCTCCTCCCGTCATCAACCCTCTCTCTTCTATCCACGGGCTGCATGGGAACCCGGGCACCGAGGTGCACCAGGGGCCGCTCCCCATTGTGGTGGCACATCCCAAGTTCATTAGCACCCATCAGGCCATTCCTGCAGGGCATGGCGGCAAGCCCCCCCTGCACCAAGACCACCACCCTCTCTTCCATGCTGTTAACCCTGCAAAGGCCCGTGTTCCTGATGGAGTTCTTGAGTTTCTAGATTGAAAATTTCTTGTATTTTAACTGAATTAATCTGCAGGATTAAAAGCTTTATGCTGCAACATCCCCCACATCCCCCAAGTTCAAGTCTTTTTCTGAGATCTGGGCTGCAGACAACAAGACTTTACACTCGCAGATACATTTGTCAAGATCTCAAAACTTCACTTCCAATGTATTTGAGTAGAGCATAAACAAAGTCAAATAATAAAGGGATTCTAAAGAACTGATGAATGCTGTTACTGCTAGACAGTTTTACAGAGGAAGTACAATGTTCAGAAATACTTTATTGCTGCTCGTTCATGTTTTTTTGTCTGAGCTGGAATCCCATTCCATGCATAACTTCAATCTAATCAATAAAGAAATCCCAACTGGCTCCTCTTTATAATTCCATATTGAAATGTTATTGAAACAACTGCCAGACCAAATCAGTAAGTCACAGAAATAACTTTTTCTCCACAATTTATTTACTGCTGTTTCATTAATAAACAATTTAAACTGTAGTTGGGGTCCCAAAGAAATTTATGCTTTGGACCCACATTGTATGGGGCTCAAGGCCCCATACAATCTCAGACTTCCTCTATTTGACATTAACACACACTCATTATCAGCAGCAGTGCATTAAGTATAAATATTACTAATTCATCATCATGTTGGCAGAACTTAAATTTGAAGTTTAACAGACTATTATTTATCTTAGCAATGACCCAGTTTTGCTTTGTTACGGGAAGTGTTTGTTTTTCAGGCGACCTTTCTTATCTGTTGGATCACTGATGCCAACCAAGAATATTTCAAATAGTTTCAAGGTACTTGCAAAGACACTGAATAAATTGCTTTCTATTATTCTGTTACAGTTAAATTTAT